TTTTTTTTTGCAGGCATTGACCGCACGGCCCGCTTAGCTAGTATATATATATATCTTATTTCTTCTTCTACTTCACTTCCTTACACTGTTAGTCAATAGTTTTGCGACAATATATATATAGGGGGATGCTCGGTTTCTCTCCGTGGGAGGTGGGCAGCAAAATGAGGGTGTGTGGGATCTAGGAGTGACATTCTCACTCATTGGAACTTACGTTCCACTCAACAGACCCCAGGCCTGGCTAGCCGGCCCTGGCAACCACTGTTGGTGATAAGCCTCACTTGTGCACTGGTCCCCCGCCGCTGAAAATGTGCCACCTTGACACGGGCACCGAAGCCTACTTTACCGCAATGGCAAGGTCCCGGTCCCTTTCAGGGAAGCAAAAAAAAAAAGGTCCCAGTCCTAGCCGAAGTGCACGTGCACAAAGACAGATAATGCTGGCCGTCGATCTCGATTATCTACGGATCATGTCTCTCACCTATTCTGTTCAAGTGGCTCGGCGCTCCGAGAACATAGGGCCTACCAGTAGTTGCACCGCTCGCCTATTTCATTCATTTTCAATGCATCTGGACACAATGTCTTTCCGGATGCATTCAAAGTCTTGGCAAATGCCGAGTGGTGCAAGTACGGTACGGTAGCCCCATAGGCAAAGCCTCAAAGATAAGTGGGGCCCGCCATCAACGAACCGCCAGGTTGTAATTAGTACGATAATGATTTCACGTAAGGATGGATCCTCATCATACGGCCAATGAATTAATTATACGTCCAAGTAATCATCAGCAGACCAACGTCATATCTTCCGCTGATTGGCAGTCAATCAAGCAATGATTGCGCTCTGTCGGTTGCTTATGAAATGTGGAGGTTGCTCATCAAGAATCAAGAAGAGTGTGTCTCTCTGGGTTAAGAATTCAATCGTCATATAACTATAACTTAATTGGATTTTGTCAAGACGCTTTTCCGCCGAGACTGACACTTTTTTACTTACGTTTGGCGGGAAATGCGGCCAGGTGCATACAGGTCCGGCCTCAAATGCGGCCAGATACATATACGATAGTGCTACCGATAGTGTGAGTACTACACCCAGAGTGTGGTGGCCGTCGCGTTGAGTTTCACTTTTGGATTTTGGATGACATTCTTTCTGTGTGAGGGTGAACCGCGCGCACAAGTACATTGAAGGCACGACGAGCAAGCGCGCGCGCGGGCGCGCTCTGGTGATTGGCGATGGCGGCATCGAGAGGGCAGGTACGTCTTGGTTGGTGGGGGTGTGGTCGATTGCGCAGTAGAAACAAGCAATGCTCCCAGGGGATGGGCTTACGGAAGTCGGATCGTTCGTTACAGCGACGGGGAAGGATATGTCGTAGGCGTGTGACGCTGCCCTGTTCCCCCAAACGCAACGCGCCTTCATCAGGACTGTATGGGAGCGGAAAGCTATGGCTTGTATCCGTTCAATGATAAGGATGCGTTGTGCTCGGGGGAACACGGTAGGGCACTGGAACGAAGCCTGGCTTTTTGTAATCTCCCTTCCTCCCGCGTCCATCACCCAGCCATTGCTCTTTTCGCCGAGGCGCGCGCGCGCGCACGCGAGAGAGAGAGAGAGAGAGAGAGAGAGAGAGAGAGAGAGAGAGAGAGAGAGAGAGAGAGAGAGAGAGAGAG